TAGCGTATGTATGCTTGTATGTATATATGTGTGTATTTATGTATGTATGGACGGGTGTATGTTTATATATATATATATATATATTTGTATTCTTGAAGGTCTTTTATTCAAGTGTGTTGTCAGAAGTCATGTATACACATTGGCAGTCGCAGATTCTATCTATGTGTGAAGAATCGGCGGTGTATATTATAAATATTTGTTGTTAGGTTTGTTGTTGTTTGGTAACCTATTTCTGATTTTGTGACGAGTTGAAGAGTGATTTATTTTTATTATAGGTAATGATATTACATGTTCACAAAAATGCATTTACACATTCTACGTACGAGCTTGCGCATGGACATGTACATTTCCACACACATTGTTCATACTCTACATCATACTCTGCATGCAACCGCAGAATGATTGTTAGCTGCAACTCAAGCTTTTCAAATTGAAGACCTGTGTACCAACATAAATGCATCTCTGCGTCCATACTGATCCGAATTAATATCTAGTTGGACGCGCAGATAACAGTTCTCACAGAGCCAAGTAATAGTTTGTATGCAATAACAGTCGAGCAACATTCAGTCCGACATAAGATCTGACATTGAATTAAGCCTCAAATACTATAGACGCAAACCTCTAAACCCTAAATTCTAAACCCCACAAAATAGTAGACGACACTGAACACTATGGAACACGAGCACAACCCCCGGGAAAATTCAGAGGATGGCGGTACCGGTAACCATGACAACGACCGTGAGGATGGGATCATTATGACACAATATCTCGACAGCCTGGGAATGCCCGACCCTTTGCCGTTTGAGTACGAATATCCGCATGGCATTGTGCAGGGGGCAGTGGGGTTCGATGACTACGATAACATTTCTGCGTTCAGCAACGAAACGGCTTTCTCTGCGCGCAATGACCTGGACAACATTTCACATTTGACGGAGGTCAGTGGTCGCATCTCCAACTACAGCGACTGTAATGCCAAGCCAAGCACCAACCTGTGCGCAGAGTCCATCAGGTGCTCTACCCGTCTGTGTGCTGTGGCGTTGTGGAGTTCTGCATGGACGTGTGGTGTTTGAATGGATGTGCTGTTGCAGTATGTTTGAAGCATGTGTGCATACAATGGCCATTTATGTTTTGTTTGTACGGGGAATCCGCGCACAGTTTTCATCGATTCCATCAATATATCTATAGATATATATACTACTCTATTACGTGCATGCATGGAATACTGAAGACGCAAATGTTGCTCCAAGGTGAATCAAGTACAGGGCTTGAAGCAAGAGAGGTGCACATTCATGTGCATTTGCGACTATACGTGTAGATTAACTTGTATAAGTATTTATATACTCTTAAAACGATAGTCCGACATATAGTCTGAGCATTCGAAACATTGTTTAAATTTATATCCTTGGGCGATATGCAGCTATTTCTGGAGGAGTATCCACCCACGGCCTATATGTGTATGTGTGCATGGATGTACTGTTTTATGTCCATGTGCCCCATATGTCGTTGAGGTAGACACCTCTCATACTGCACCTACCAATCAGTCCCTGTGTACTAATACGCCCTTTGTTTGATTCAAATCTTGCGTCGTCTGCAATGGCTCTGGCTCCTTCAGATCCGATTCGGACGATTCGACCGGGGCTGCAGAGGTGAGTGGTTGGGAGTGTATCTAGTGCGCGTGGGTTGAAGGATTTTCTCATCGCTGTCAGCAATTCTCTCTATTTTCCAGTGTGCCTGTCCGTGTACTTGACCGTTTACTTAACCGTGTACTTGTTGTCATTGAATGATCGTAGTTAGTGTGTGAGTTATACCTGCTAACACACCAACCCAAACATAGGCATATAAAACAGGCCTATCAGGTCGTGTAGGAGTAACTTTTCATCAGCTATTGCACTTGCACCCTTAGAGGGGTGCACAGAGAACGTACACTGCCCACCCGACGCACGAATACTACACCCAACCTATAAACCCTAAAACCCTAAAACACACCACTCCCAGTATTGCAACCTCCATACGTTCATGCAAACGATACACGCCGCATGCACCACGTACGCCAACGATAGGACCCACAGGACCCACACCTCAAACCTCAAACTATGCACCTGTCCCCAACGACCATCAGCTGGACATAGAGACATTCCTCAACACAACGGAACCCAGCAAGCCACGGCACATTGGGTTTCGCGTGCCCACGCCCGTGGACAGGATGAAGCACAGCAGTCCTAAATCAGAACCAGGGTCATCGGACGACACCACACGCACACCCAAAGCACACAGGCGACAGTCCAACAAGGCACTCCTGACCATCACAAAAGCCACTACGCGGCAACGCAGCAACTCCACACGAGAACGCAGCACCACTACCAGGTATGTATTAAAAAAATATGTGACCCCACAAACTCAACAAACCCTACAGAGGTAGGCTGCGTATGTGTGGCGAATGGACACGGTTGCCGTGTGGGGTAGGGCCCGTGGCTAAGCTTCATTTCGTAAGGATATGGTAGACATGGCACGACATGAAATGACATGACATGACATGCATGCGGATTTGCGTTGCAGTGCTGTGTACATGCTTATTGCGCATGTTATGTGTTAGTGCGGGAGGTATAGGTATGTGCAATATGGGATGCGCGTGTCAACTCGTTTACGCTTAGAACTGCAGACGTTACGATTCATATCACTTCTGATAGTGACGTTGTTGCACGAAGCGAGGGTTCGCTGTCGGTGCATATGCACTTGAATTGTTGGCAGTGACTATCTATGGACTGTAACTGTGCAAAACAGGGGGCTATAGTAGATTCTGTGCATTGGACGATGGCTACTGTCTGTTGATGGAGCCTGCTTCAGCATTAATCTGACCTAAGTCTACATTTGCATTT